TTTTTTACCAAATACCCACAGGAAGAATCGAATAGTATGAAAAAATATAAAAACATCCATTGAGCTGTAAAATTTTTTAGTTAACAAGTAATTTTTAGCAAAAAAAAACAAATTCAATTCTCATATAAAAAATATATATATATATATATTTCATGGCCCAATGATCGGATCTAAACCAGATTACATACTAATCCTCCTCTGAGATACTACCATTCCGATTAGAATTATCGTAATCGGTTGACGGTTTGTATAGTCAAAAGCGGCTTAAAAGTCGACGAAAGATGGTGTGTGTTGACTTGCTTATCTAAATCCTATTCCAGTATTCGTCGAGCTATGAAAATCTGGTTCCTACACATTGTTCCCTGATCTTCTTCATAAAACGCACCACTTGTGTAGCCATTCAACAGCGTTGAGAAGTGTTGCCTTCATATTTCAAGAATACTCTGGACGATTGTTATTAGATTTCCATCTAAATTTTGGCAGGAACTAGCGCCGATTTTAAAACCGTTTGATTTCTACCTTATCCTCTTATAGAATTTTCTTCCGGCGTATCGTTACTTTGATCATCAACTCTTTGCCGCAGTGCCAGATAACTTGATAAATTTGGCGAGTACCCCTACTATGTTTGCCGCATGTCGTTTGAGCTTAATTGAAAATTGAGGACGTCATTGTCGATGAGTTTTTTATTACATATGTATATTAGACTGCATCACACACCATACAAAAAAAAACGGTACTATTTTCCATTGGAATTATAAAATCTATTATATTTTAAGACGCCCACCAAAATAATTCGAAAAAATATTAAGATTTAAGTGAGCCGGACCAATTTCAAAATACCTCTAAAAATGGAGTTTTTTATGAATAAAAATAGTTTCTTAAAATTATTTTTTTTAAATCCCCTTAAATGACAAACCGGTTTAAGCTTAAGAAATTTGCATAACAATATTTAAGAAAAATTAAAAAAAAATTTGAGCGGAATCGTAATGATGAGATTTTTGATGCTGTTTTCTAACTTTTTTCAAAGACTGCTATAAGAAAAACTTGAATAACTGAGCCAAAACTCTTCTGATTTAGACTTAAGAGGTGTCGGTGGAAAGGTATTTTCTCACCCTTTTTATTTCTTTGCTAATAAACTCATTCAAAGGATGAAAGAGAAAGGTAGTATGAACGAACGTCATTCAAAGTTGAATTAAGATGTGTTGGTATTTGAAAAAAAAAATTGGGACATAAATGATTTTTTGTTTGGACAGAAATAAAAACAGTATGAAAATACCTTTCTACTGAGATCCCATAAGTCTAAATCAGAATAGTTTTGGCCCAGTTATTCAAGTTTTTCGTTAATCAATCTTTGAAAAAAGTAAAAAAAAATAGCATCAAAAATCTCATTCTTACGATTCCGTTGAAAAGCTTTTTAAATATTTTCATGCAGATTTTTTAAGCTTAATCTGTTTTGTCATCTGAGGGGACTTTTTCAAAAAAATTCTTTAAGAAACTATTTTTATTCATAAAAAACTCCATTTTTGGAGGTATTTTGAAATCGGTCCAGCTCACTTAAATCCTAATATTTTTCCGAAATATTTTGGTGGAGGTCTTAAGATATAAAAAATTTTGTAATCCCGGCGGAAAAACCGCATTTTTTTTTGGTGATGCAGTCTAATGTACATACGTACACATTTACATAAGTTCATAAATCGAGACATACTTACTTAAATCGAGTACATACTTACATATCGTCATCTGAAATGCAAAAAGACGTAACAAACATCGTCACTGAAATTGAAAAGTCTTGGCTTAAAAACTTTTTTTTTGCATAAAAAGATGGGGGAGTTGTTTTGTGTTGTTTGTACTACGGAACATATTTTTTGCGTTTGATTATACAACTGTTATCTTATGTAATCTTGTCATTTGAGAAATCGTCGCCTGGGTAAAAGATTGTCGTAAGCGCCATTTTGACGACTTTTAGTTCTAAATGCAGTTATATATTCTGAAATAAGGTCTTTCGATTGGTGTTATCAGTTTTTAGATATCTCCTTTAGTTTACGAGATATTGACTACAATTTTTTCGATAATTTTGTAAAAATTTAGTCAGTGATGCAGCCATATTAAACTAATCAATATCTCAAAACTGGCGCTCTCCATTTTTGGATATCTCCTTTAGTTTCCGTGATATTGAGTAAAAAGTGACGTTAATTTGGTAGAAATTTTAATCACATTTTGTCGTATTTCATACAAAGTGGCTGCCAAATTGTGGACAAATGACGCTTACGACAAAATTTTACTAAAGAAAATCCTTCATAAACTCAAAACTAAATAACAATAAACATTAAAAATTAAATAGTTTAACAATCTTGTGAACTAGTAACATTTTCAGAGACTTTGGAGAAAATCTATCTTCGCATTTTTGAGAAATTGCATTCCAAACTTCAATCGCGATTTCCCACAACCTGCCGAAATTAACATACGACAATCTTTTACCCAGGCGACGAGATGCAAACGAACATGGGTATATATGTATATATTTAAGTACATACATATATATGTATGTGTGTTGTTATAGTTGAAGTGAAAATAACAGGTAGAAAACGTGGCCCTCGGTTAACACAACACTCGATAAACGCAATACCTCGGTTAAAGCAACACCCATATGCTGACCTTTAGTGACTCAGTAATTACAACGTTTCAAATAATTGTGCCTCAGTATATACACCAATTGTTCAAAAGAAATTAACCAAAAAATATACTGATTTCAATTTTGTATACATATAAATCATTTTGAAGTGAATAAATGTAAAAATTTTTGTTGGCCTTATTTCAGAATAGTCAAGGCGAATAAATATAAGGTGGTATCCATTCAACAAAGACACCAATTACTTGTATTTTGTCTTTATTTTAGCGGGCCGTTGTCAAATTTCAGCTATTCTTCCCCGAATGAAAAAGGGCGTCATAAAATACGTCACGTTTTCACTCACTCACTTGCGAAATCAAACTACCCCGCTACCCCGTGGCGAATGTCACACATTAGTCACTTAAGTGTCTTGTACGGAAAAGTTACGTCTTAAATGACTTTGGGCTCCGTTTATATGGAAGTCGTTCATGACTTTTTCATATAAATGGTAATTTCGTCGTTGATGTCATCTACATGACTTTGTCATGCAGTGATCATTGATGACATTCAAGCGACAGTATCTTGCAATGGACGTTTTATAAGTGGCCGCTGCAAGACATTGTCTGTTATAAGTCTTTGGTAGGAGTACACCTGCATGACATTGTCACCAGTGACTTTGTCAGCTATATGTCGTTTAGGATTCACAGCAATTGCGACGATGACACCGGTGACCATTTTCGCTACTGGGTACTCACAGCTGGCGAAACAACACCACCTTATATAAATTCGCCTCGAATAGTATGTATATTACTTTGGAAACTACAGAAACCCAAAATGTTTCGAAGGGGGTTGTTGGTTATAATAAATAAACCAAAAACAAAAAACATTCTCATAAGCCAACAACAACAAAACAAAAATAAACTGAAAATTATTGTTATAAAAACATAGTACTTAAAGGGATCAAGAAATAGTTTAATCTATGTGTTCCATAAATATTTAGTAAGGAGAAAATGTGTGGGAAAAGTTGATGATTGTATTCAAATGAAGCTTCCAATGTTAGCGGACTCCTTGAGTGATCTTCTGTTTCCATAAAGAAGGCTCCGGAACATTATTTTCTGTGCCGATATTTGTGAAAATTTCTAGGTCCTGACTGTCTAAGGCCATACTGTCAGTATGTATATCATGACTTGTACATTTAGAGAGAAGAATGTTTGCTAATTTTGTTATTAAGAGTTTGTGCTGAACTAATTTTTCCTTTAGTTGGGTAGAAATATTTCCAAGAAAATGCATTGCTATAGCCACTCTGTAATAAGCTTCAGGAATCGATGATACTTTACATATTATTTTATTTCTGGTATGTGGAATGCGTAGAAGTTTAACTTCACCATTTAACGATTTTAGAAATTCAAACGCTTATTAGAAAATATTGGAAAGTCTTTTACAAGTTTAAAAACTATTTCAGAGTGTTCAGAAAGCGCTTGGTTAGTTGAAATTAAAAAAAATTCTTGATGCCATAAGAACGCTCAATACAAATTTATTCGAGATTTTGTAAACTTATTTGTGGTCGATGAAACTACCATGCCCGGTTCGAACATCAATCCGTTAAATGCCTTAATAATCGTGGTATACGTTTCTTTAAATCTAAGCATTGTGAAAGATATGAAAGATATGTCTTAAATATCGCCGTTTTGATAATAAAGATAGTTATTTGAAATTTGTATTAGTCTAGTTATCTTTATGATGAAATCTCAAAAACCGTAAATATTGAACTAACTATCTGTGCATTCAGCACAAATCTGGCGATTAATTCGATGAAAATTTATAATTTTATCACTTTTATCTGCAGTAGTATTTGATTGATTTATCTACACTGAGAAAATACACTAACATAGTTCTAGACATAGTTCTCTCAACAGAAAATGGTGACTATAACCAAGTTTTGTAACTATAACCAAATCATGTGGTGTTAAAAATTCAGTTGACGTAACTAAACTCTTTTTTCAGTGTATGAGTCAAGGCAGTATGATAAAAATATGGCTCAGATAGCTTGTTAAAAGACCGGTGCCTTTTTGCACTCAAATATGATCAATTTCCCTATCTTATTTTTCTGTGTACTTATCAGTATAAGTCTTCATACCGAGCTCGGTATTCGTCAACTCGGTGCCCGGTAATTATTTCTAATGTATTTTGTTTGTGTAAAATAGTGTTACACAAACAAAATACATGGAAAAAAAAATTACCGAACACCGAGTTACCGAGTACCAAGCTTCGGTGTGAAGACCCATAATATTTATACACATAAATGTGGTAAAACTACGCTGCATACTAATTTTTATGAGTATCTGAAAAAAATTGCTGTACATTTATTCTTTTCTTCTGCTTTGTCACACAGATATTCCGATGGCACAGTTAAATTGCGCAACTCCAACATCGAATTAATGGATCAGGATATACTCTATCATCTCGCTTTGGGCAGTGAAAGCCATGATTTGCAAGAAATGTTCGGTGATGTTAAAGTAAGCAAATTTAATTTGGCAAATATTTTTTATTTATATGCCTACTATGACTATACATGTTGTGTATGTAATTGTACTTACTTGAAGGACGTCGGCATCCAAAAGACCAGAAGACGAGAAAAACGGCTTTAAAGTTTAGAATTTACTTATACATATAGCTTATACACTAAGCGAAATAGCTATATGGGCACTCAAACAAATAAGTTTTTTTTATAATAAAACAATCATTGTTAGATCTTTTTATCTTTCAACAAAAATTAACAAAACGATAGCAAGAATAAAATATGTTAAAGGTATTACTTCAGCCTTTTATTGTAAAAATTTAAACTTTTTAAAGAGCGTAAAAGGAAATAGATATATGGGACAAAATTAATATTGAATTCATTCTTAAGAAAAAGAATATAAAATAATATTCAATAGCTTGTATGTCCTCCGTTGTTTATTGTGACTGATACTAGCCGGCGTGGCATGGAATTTACGAGTGACTGAAGGACACTTAGGTCGATTTTTGCCCATTCTTCTTGAATAGCTTTTTTGAGCTGCAATAGGGTATCAAATTGGCGTCCACCTTTATAAACTTGTTTGCTAAGAATGCTCCAGAGGTTCTCCATGGGATTTAGGTCTGGACTAACTGCAGGCCACTTCAGCACAGGAATATTTTTCGACGCGAAAAACTCCTTTGTACGCTTAGCACTGTGGATTGGAGCATTATCCTGTTGATACGTCCAAGACTCATCGTGAAATTCTTCGGCAAAATTCAATAAAACGTCATCCAATACTTCAATGTAATTTTCTGCGTCCATCTTATGAGAAATAAAACAAATTGGCGTCTTGTCTCGGTAGCTAAAAGCAGCCCAGGTCATAAGAGAGCCACCGTGGAAGTTTCGGGAGTGGCGGATTTGTCGAGGCTCACGAATATCTCTCCAATACTTTTGACAACCATCTGGCCCATCGAGATTAAATTTTTTTTCATAGCTAAAAATGATGGATTGCCATTCATCATCCCAGAACTTATGATTATCGGCGAATTCGAGCCGAGCTGCCTTGTGGCGTGGCGTAAGCTTTGGTTTAGCCAGTCGATTTTGGTATTTTAAATTGGAATCTTCACTCAAAATTTGCTGTATTCTTCTCTTCGTAATATTGAGAGAAAGTTCATTTCTAATTTGGTTAGGGCTGATGTTTTTATTGACAGCCAACCGTCTTATCTCTCTCTTACACCTGTCGTCAATCTTAGGTTTCGGACCAGTTCTTTTAGTTTTTCCGTACCCATCGGGATTCTTCAAAAAATTTTGGATGGTATTTTTATTTCGTTTTACTTTTAGCGCTATTTTGCGAACTGAGACTCCCGATTCACTATAAGCTAGAATACTAGCGCGCTCCTCAGTAGATAACTGCGTTCCTCTTGGCATAGTGTCCTAAAAGGTTATTTTCCCAGCATGAGCATTATTTATTTCGTAATTAAAACTACTCAACTTTCCTTAAGGAGTCTTTAAAATTGTTAAATTTGTATAAAAATATCACGCAATTTCCACGACAAGAAATAAAGTGTTCACGGACGCGCTTGTTCCTTATAACTATTTCCTTCTAGAAACTCTAGAAAGAAAGAGTAGATAATTTAAAACTACCGCTAGTACGTGCATACATTTGTGTGTATTATAAGGCGACTCAAGAAAATAGTATGCAGCTATTTTAGAAGAAAAATTAAGAACTTGGTTTGTCCCATATAGCTATTTCGCTTAGTGTATGGTACTAGTTATTGGAGTAAAAGTGAATACATATTTCGTTTTAATGAGCTACTGGTAATTGATACTGCGCGAAGTTTTACACAACATAGAAGAAGAGGATCGGTAATTTCTGCATACTTGACTTGATTTTTGTGTTTTTTTTCTCATGGACTTTCTTCAAGTAAACAAGCGATATGTATGTATTCAAAACTATAGACGTTTTCATTGTCATAACTTGGCTCAAAAACTATTAATAGATTTTAGCCCAATTTTTCGTAGTATTTCTTTACGCCTCCGGTTATATAGTCCACCAATAACTCGCAGGTGGCGAAACTTTTTAGTATACATAAATATTACAATTATGATAGAAACAAATTAGGCAACACCTATCAGAATTTTAAAATAACTGCTACAGCATAAAACTAGTTGCAGTCTTCCAAAAAAAAAAAAAAAAAGTCTTCCACCCAAAATCCAAAGTTTTTTCTTAGAAGTGTTCTAAAAAATCAATGGTAATTTTTAGCTACTTGAAACTTGCACATTATTGGACTAAAATTGAATGGACTATAAAACTATGTACTCAAAAAAACTCTAGCACCTCTGAGAAAAAAGTTTGAAATTTATGTGAAAATTTGTTGCATTTTTTTTGCAGCCCTTTATAAAGTTTTGAACTTGGGGTTTGCTAGAGAATCAAATGCATTTTAATTGAAAATTCTTAAAAATAAATAATTAAACAAGAGTGGGAAACAATATTACTTTAAAATATTGCTATTGATATGATCGATGTGAGATTGACTACTTGTATATGGCAGAGTACCGGACTCAATTTTCAGCTTTCTTACCTTCCATTAATGCCGCAATCAAATATTCAAGACCGTTCAGCAAATTTTTGGGGAACAGTTAGTAAACGCTGGGTTTGAGCAAGAAAATAAACAACAAGTAATTTTTAAGCAAAAAAAAAACGACTTCAATTCTTATATACAAATTTGATAGTACCGTTAATTTCTTCATGACCAAATGATTAGATCTAAACGAAATTAGTAGGGGACCACCCTTTAGGCAACACCTTTCCGACAGAAAAAGAATACAGAAATCGGTAGACATGGTCCAAGGTTATGCGGTAAAATACATAAAAAAATATTCAGACGAATTTAAACTTCTCCTTTTTTTGAAGTCGGTCAAAAAGGGGCATTTGACATTTGGTTTAATGGAGGTTTAAGTACTTTTTGATGCTGTGCAGTACTGAATGAAAAAATGTCCAATTAAGGCCTTTTGTATTCATAAAGACGATATGTTATTTTATGTATAAATGAGAAATTGTATGATTTGCAATATCTTTGGTATGAAGACTACGTTACCTTAATGTAAAAATAAATATACCGTTTTTTGAATGCAATATATCGTTACCTTAGTATAGAAAGGTCCTATCTAACATTTTTAGTTCTTCACATAGTAATTTTAAAATCAAATAAAAAAGGCAGTTTTTGTGGCGAATTTCTTTCAAACAATATTTTTTCATAAAGGCTGTATGGAATATAATATATTTAAAGTTATTTTTGAATTCTATTAGATGGTTAAGGGCTGTCTATATTAAGGTAAATATGTACATACATACAAATATTGAACTGATAAGTCGTGTGAATTGAATTAATACGTAATTAGTATAATACGTAGAAATTAAAACGCACATCTAGCTTTATGTAATCGCCAAGGAGATATTTAATATTGAAACAAGTTTTTTACTTATATACATACATAAATATATGTATATACGAACATATGTGCCTACATGAGAACAAAAAAAATATTTCAAATGCATCTGTAGCATATATAAGTATATGTATATAATTTATTGACCAATTAAAATAATCTCTATTCGCATCAGCAAGTAATATTATTTATTAGAGGTCAAAGTTGTACAAATCTAAATATTTACAAACAAAACATATTTCAATGGTTCCATAAAAGCTTTAAATAATCTAAAATTTGGAGAGCTCTGGGTACATATATATGTATATGTACGTATAGAAACATATCGCTAGGTTTAAGTTGAAAACTGTTAAGTCCACTCGTTGTAACAGCTTATATTTTGATATAAGAAGCAAGATAAATTAAAAATTTATCGTTCCGAAAAGGAGTTAAGTATCTACAGATTTGTGCGATTCTGCCGGTGCGAATCTGTTCCGACAAACATTACAACAATGTCGTTCATAGTTTTAAATGCGGAACCTCATACTTGTGAGATTTTGTTGCAGCGATTAGTCGAACATTCACAGTTCTTTTCCGGTAAAGTTTGTTAAAATGGAGCTAGCAACTCTTCACTCTTAGCTAACGGTATGTATATGTATATTAGACCCCTTTTAGACACATCAAGTGTGACGAGAGGGGATAAGTACATTCGTCTCACCTCCTTCGCCTACGAACGAGCAGACTTGAAATCAAGACTTGACGTGTCTAAAAGACACAACAACATTTATACAAACGAATGAATTTTCTAAGTAGTCTGCCTTTATTACCACTGCTTTAAAAATGATAAAAAATGGAGAGACAAACTGAACGAGCTTTTTAACGACGTGGACATGTTGTACGCATGGATGACGATGCCCGGTGAAAAGATCCTTCAACTCCGCACCCATAGGTGGACAACAAAAGTAAGGGCGAACATGAACACAATGGAAGGACCAAGTGCAGAAGGACCTATCCACACTTGGGATGAACAACGAAATAAGAAGGAGAAAGTGGGACTAGGTTAAACACTGGTACAGGACCACGAAACCTTGTAACCAACACTAGTAACCAAAATGGTCCAAATATATGGAGAAAACGTGGTTACATTAACATTGCGATGTCATTGGACCTGACCACCTCTGGTCCAACGCTGCATAACATTGGACCACCTAGACAACTACTCCTTTTGGACCATGGCACATTCGGCAACCGAATCATATTGCCGATGGGTGGTGTTCAACACATATATCAGTTTTTTACGTTTATAGAGGTCCAGGTCAGCATAACAAGTTACTAGTATGAAGCCTGGTCCTTTTGCACATACATTAAAACCACGACCCAGTGGACCACCTGGTCCTCAAATTTTTACAGGGTACATTTTGGTTACCAATGTTTAACCTAGTCCCACTTTTTGCAGGGTAGGTCTGCACCAGTAGTGCGATTCACTAACTTTTAACAGTGCGACTTGTCGAGTTGTAAGCTAACAATTTTTGTTGTTTGCTGTAACGATTGTGCGATTCACTAACTGTGCTGCCGCCATGATGCAATAAT